GTTCTCTAGATAGCACCAAATCATTGTGTCAGTTAAGCAAAAACAGCGAAAACACCAGATACGAGAATTCGATAACACACCTAATTTATAAGGTAAGAGAGAGACTACAATCTTCCCATCCTTGCCCGAAATAGCGCCACTTCGGTATATTTGAATTCCGCTGCCTAAAACGTTTTAGCGCCGCTTTTGGCATATCTACTACGATTTCGTCTTTGCCATAATCCGTGTCTCTCCGGCCAAACTTTGTGCTTCTTGAACTTCTGCCTTTTTACTTTCCACACAGGCAATTCTGGCGCTACATGCCGTAGCAGGGCGGGTGAGGCTTTTCCTCACCGGACTCTTCCCGTCTCTAAACAGGCTTTGCTAAATTAGGATATTTAGCGCCACGGGCGTATACAGTTAACTTCATCAGTGTTCGTGTGTGTGTGTGTGTGTTACAGTACATAGGCAACTACTAAATCTAGGCCCGGATCGGCCAAGTCAGACTGTGAAATGCGATATTGTATGTCCCATCGGATTACAGGCGGAGTTGAACTGGAACTTCAACTTAATTTGGATGGCGGGGCAGGGAGAGGGGCAGGCTGGAGGACCGGGGATGCTGATTTAATTCATAGGAAGTAGCGAAAAAGAAGGATGGACTGGAATAATGACTGAAAAGAAGCTGAGACCCCGCTTGGAGGTACGAGATAAAAAGAGGGATGGAAATTATGGGGAGAGAACTACATGAGCAAGTGTTGCTCAGCAAGAAACTTGATGCCGAGTCGAATCCGTTAAAACTGTTGTTGCCAGGTTTCAGTGAGCACAAAATTTCTTGCTTAGCATCGTAAACCCAAAAAGCAATTTGAACCGAGATTTAAATAACTAGTGGAAAATATAGCGACGTTGCTGGCAATAAAGCTAGACTGCAACAACCTGAGCACGAACGATTATCATAGAACAGCGAAAGGACTGTTAAATCTTAGATATGCTTCGGAATCATTTTGAAATAAACGGAATCGAGCTGTGCTTTTTCCTGCTTTTAATTCTTTAAACACTGCTCTATTCGTAGATAAGTAAGCCAACGCTTCGGTTTAGTGAAATTTGGGCCGAAAACCAGAGTGCGATTTATACCTGTTTTTTTTCCTCCAAAATCCCACAGAAATGAACACCCCAAATCGTACATATTTATGATATTACTTTTTTTCCGCAAACGAGTGCGAACTGCGCGACCGAGTCGAGCAGAGCTGAGTTTTATCAGTTGTCCGGTGCGGAGCTGCACCATCGACTTATCAGTTTAAAGTTTTCAGTGCTACCCAAATGGAAAAATCTTTCAGCACAGCTGTATCTTGCTCTCCTCAGGTAAAACAGTTGCTTCCAGTTGTTGCTCACTATCTCCACTTCTTAAAAGCACGACCTTTATGCCGATTACCCTAGCGATCGGTCACCAACATCCTCATTTAATTACTATATACTATGCTATATATAACAAAGCACAGTATATTACTATGCTATAATAAAGCATAGTAATAGATTGTAAAAAAATTTTTCTCGGAGACCGAATTGCGAATGAGGTGAATTCTCATCGAACACTCGGGATGCAATTTTCATCACCTACAACTTGAATTTATGCAGCAGTCACGCCCGCAATAAACCAAGTGCATGGCGACACGCACTTCAGCCCGGGACGAAGAAGCATGGAGCGATGTCCAATAGTGCGATTTAATGGAAATGCAACCACTAGTTGAATAAAGCTGCCCTAAAAAAATGCAAAATGTACAGAAAGGCCGACGTTGAGATCTTCCTGCAATACCCAGGCAGCGAATTCGAATATTAAATCCAAATAATTATTTCCAAGTTTTCGCAAATACTGGACAGTCATTCCGCAACCTCTCAATGGACTTCCTTCCACATGAGCCTGCTCCTTCAGCAACATCAGAGCTGCAAACATATTTAAAACAGCCGCTTTCCAAAAGTGTCAATTAACGCCTAGCTCGTCTCGCTTTAGATCATACAACGAAGAATGTAAGATCTTCTAAACATCAGCTGGGACCGCTAAATTAAATCTTTGCGAACGCTTCGGCCGATATTAATCAAAAGAAAGAAAAGCTCATCCCTATACGAAGGCGAACATCTTAGCTGTAAAACACAATTGTGGTTTACCGCATTACACTTGTGTGTAGTGCGAAATTCAACATGTGAGCAAACAAAATGAATTTTACAGTCCAGATTCCGTGAGCACTGTTACAATATGAATAGCAGAAAGATTAGTAACTTCCTTCATTCGCATTTTCGATAGAACGGCCATTCGGTTTGGGATCTCAGTTCGAACTGCTTTACGAGTTTATGATGCTGAATGAAAGCTGGCAAGAAGAAACTTACCAGATTCAACTCAGCATCAAGTTTCTTGCTAAGCAAAAAAAGCCCGTGTAACCCGATCCTCACCCCATAATGCCATAATTTCAGATCTTGCTTCCAATCCTATCTCCAAGCACTATTACCACAATTACAATCGTCTGCGCTCAATCCTCTTTTAGCTCAGCAATTTTCCTCCACTATGTGTTCCACTCACCAAATAATTTTATTTGTTTCTTTGTCTTCAGCTGCATCTGTTTCAAAAATCAGGAGGCCTTCAACTGCATAGAAGGGTCCGAACTTGCGACATTAAGTGAATGTATCTCGCTTATTGCCGAGCATAATGGATACACTGCTAGAAGCGTCGACAGCGAGAAACACAACGGTGAAGGAACAGCTGTTCAAAGTATTAGAAAAATGCATTTTAAGAAGCAACTGCAAGTACCTTTCTCATGCAAGCCTCGCCTTTCGTACAATACGTACAGTTCATAATATTTTTGGCGTTCTAATAATATCTTTTCTGAATCAGCTACAATACACATATTATCTGCAAGGCGTAGCAGCGATGCCACCAAGCTCTCGTTCGTCTGAATACAAATGTTACTGAAGCCACTGCTACAGTTCCAAAACGGGAAATCCGACGCAATGAGATTTTAGCATCGATTTTGCCGGTATTCACTTGTCTATCGTACCGTAAAACGAACTACAGTGAGTTTTACAGAGGGATAGCCCGTGTTGCTTATTGGCAAGTGTCTTAGTTTTTTCCAAGTTCAGCAACAAGTTATTCTGAATTACACTAAATTTCCTGGAGGAATGAGCAAACGAATGCATACGAAAGTCAAACAGCGGCTTGGTGAGAAAATCGCGTGAACAAATTTTGTAGTGTGTATCATCCAGCCTCTTAAAAACGCGGTCCTTTATAGACCACTTCGCTTACCAACTTCAGCAGCGGAATTTAAACAGAACAAGAGTACCTGAAGGTAGCACTTCAGTAAAGTAGT